ATATTTAAAATAATTAAAATTAAACATTACCGACCAATTATGGTCGATAACCTCAACAGTGCAGGAAAAATACCGACCAAAGTTAGTCGGTAATGTTGAATTATGTGAATTCAATGTTCATTAACCGACCAACTTTGGTCAGTATTTTGAAATAATTTTTTATTATTATTAAAAACCGACCAACTTTGGTCGGTTTTTTTGGGTTTAATTTTGGCATAAAATGCCTGTTTTGGCAGCTACACCACCTGCCAGCATACCAATACACCTAATAACAACAACAACAACAACAACAACAACAACAACACAACAACAACCAAAACATTCAATACATACTTTAAACTAACAAATTAAAGTTCAATTGAACATAAAAATCCAAAACCAAGTTAAAACTAATTACAACTAGTTCAAAACTAGTTCTATTTGTCTAGTCCAAAGTATATAAAAGTCAAGGGGTATTTTCTACAACATCATCACCACCGTCTGATGAACTTTCATTTACAAGACAGTATAGAGAACGATCTTGTGGAGGACGGGAAGAACAATCACGAGGAGGACGGGAGGAATGATCTCGAGCAGGACGGGAGGAACGATCACGTGGAGGTCGACCCTCTGGAGATGACTCACGAGATCGGGGCAACGGAAAAGCTCCACTAGATAGGAGAGTTCTGATCTGAGCTTGCATGCCAAGGAATTGAGCATCTCTAAGCCTTTCTTTTTCCTTGGCCGCTTCTAGCTCAGATGTGATCTTTGTCACTGTCTCTCTCATAGCGGAGAGGCTCTCTCTATTAAGTTGCTCGCCTTGCGAGGAAGTCCCTATTCCTCGCATTCCATACTTATAGCGATAGAAGTTTTTAGTAGGAAGCCCGTATACCTTCCCCCATTTTGGACCGCCAACAGACTCCAATCATATTCTTTTAGCATCTTCGTCCGAAGGTTGGGTTGGCTCACCCGATTCACCAGCTGGATGACTATGGATGAATTCCTCCACGTTACTTTGGTAGCGACTCTATATTATTTTAAATTAAATCAATATTTCAAAATTTTTATAAAAGTAAATTATAATACTTAAAGAAAATTAAAAGCTTACATATGCAGTCGAGGCCCGGTACTCAACCCACCTATCTTGATCCCCCTCTTTTTTCTTCTTCACAATATGCGTCTCCTTGAATATCTCATCATGACTCATTGGACATTCATACTTCTTTTTCTGAAAACAAATTAATTTAGTTAATAAACAGAATAGATATACTTAGAAAAGTAAAATAATTTAAGCAATTACGTACCAATCTTCTTTTTATTGTCCCTAGGCTGATCGCACCTCCAGTGTGCAAGGAGCCTCCCTTTTCGGATGCGCGAGCTTTCTTTCCTTTTTTTCTCCTCTCTAAGAACTCCGCGGTAAGCCATTGCCTTTGCAAATCATTCCATAAATTCTCAAGTAACCAGCCAGGCCTCTTATTCTTCTTACTAGCATCCGAAAAAGCATCCGCCAATCTCTTGCGAGCTTTATGATGAAAATTTACAGCCACTTTCGTGCTATAGCGGTCTTCCCATACACACTTGCTCTGTATTTCAAAAGTTAAATATCAGTTGAAAACATCATAAATATAAATTATTAAACTGTTTAAAAGAACATTTATACCTTAAATTGATTGAAAATTTGCTCTTTCAGCGAGAATGGGCAATCAGTCCAAGTCGCATAAGGGCCATCATAAAAGCTTTATGATGGCATTGGTGATTATCTTCATAGTCTTATTACCCGGCCTGAACCTACAATTTAATAATAAAAATACATTAATATCTTAGTAAAAATGTTACAAATCAATAGACGCAAAAATAATGAATAACATTTACCCATCACCCTCAAGGACTATGATGATCCTGCCATATCGATCATAATGCACTACCTCGTCATCACTATCCGAAGCATGTGTATCAGAGGCATGTGAAGACGGTGTAGGCGGGTCAGAGCTACTGCCTCGCAGGCGAAGGCCTGCAATAGATGGAGTCGATGATGAAGATAGTTGCAATCCCTGTGAATGCGACATAGCTGGATGCGACCCAAGTGGATGTGATACTGATGGCTGTGACTTGAGTGGTTGTGACATGGATGGATACGATCCATGTGGCTATGATATATAGGGATGTGATCCATGTGGATGTGATATAGATGGCTGTGATTCAGATGGCTGTGAGGCAGCTGGACTGTATGTCGGACGTATAGTCCTATGGCCCTGTGATGGAAGACCTGGTGTCTGAATGAAGGTGTACGGCTCGTGATTCTGCGGCAGCTCAGTATATCCGTGTGGTGGAGGATAAGACATAGGCATCTCTGAAAAGGGTGGACAAGAGGGACTATTATTTTCTACCCTCCTCTTTCCCTTCCTACCCTTTTCTCGACCCCGAGAACTAGTAGGGTCATTGTTACCTTGAACCTTGCCTGCCATATGCATAATATAATACACATTTAGATTGAAACATATAAGAAACTAGCTATAAAACGAGAGTGCTTTAAAAAACCAACTTTTTAATCCTCATCGACGTATTGTTCCTCGTCCGAGAATTCTTCGTCCTCACTTGTTTGAGCTTCATCAGTTGATTCTTCGTCCTCATTTTCTATAATTGTTACTTCATTTATATCAACTTCTTCCAATATGCGTTCAGGATGTTCCAAATCATTTTCTAACTGATCGTCCACTATTTGGTAAACACTGGAGATATCGTTTTGATATGTAACATCTAACACATTCTCGACTTCCACCCTACCTATAGGCTTAGTTTTTATTACAACCCATCAATCGGACTTATTCTGCCGCAATGGATAAGGAGCATAATACACTTGCCTAACGTTATGTGCAATTATGAAAGGATCATAGCGATCATACTCCCTCGTATGATTAACCTCAATTATGTTATATTGGTGGTGTACTTTTGTACCTCTTGTTGGATTTGGGTCAAACCACTTGCATCTAAAGAGTATCAATTTCTTATATGGCCAACCTGTATATTCTAGTTGTAATATTTCTTTGACCACACTATAATAATCAATATCTCCAACTTGGTTGCATCACCACTTTGAACCCACACCCCATTGTTGTTGCTATTTTTATTTTTATAGCAATCCTCTGTATGAAACTTATAACCATTCACTATGTACTTAGACATTGTTGTGACCTGAA